TTCACCTCCCTGGAGACAGGTCTCAGGGGAGAGAAAACTTTGCCCTCTGCCCCGCTGGCCCCAGTGATCTGAACTGGTTTCATCTTTCCCATGAACCCAGCATATCTTGCAATCAAGCACCCCTTAAATTCTCTTTCCTAAGTTATTTTACTAGGCTTTGCTAATAGGCACAAAACCGTCTCTTATATTCCTCTACTACTGAGAAGCCTAATCACCATCCCACAGGGAGAAGGCCACAGACCTCTCGGTTCCCACCCCTCCTTTGCCAAATTCTCCTCCAAATGCACCACTTCCCCGCTCCCCGACCCTGGTCTGTGCCAGTCCAATCAATGACACCACCCTTCAAAATCTAGGATTAACCTTAGATCCTTCTCCTTTTTTCACACCTTAAATCCAACAGCAAGATCTACTATCTTGACCTGCTAAATATATCATATTATCCAGCTACTACTTCTACAATTTCTATTTATACTTTATTTCAAGCTGTTGTCATTTCTCACTTCAACTATCAGGACAGCCCTCCAACTAGTGTCATGCCATCTACTTTTGTCCCACCTGGAAAGGTGACTGTGTATACATCCCTCCCTTGCTCAAAGTCCTCCAGTGGCCTTCTGCAAACATTTATACAAAATCTCCACTACAGCCTAAAAGGCCCAGTGTGACTTGGCTCCTGGCTCCCTCCTGCCCCATTTCCTCACTCACTTCTCCAGTCACCCCAGTCTCCCTGGATGTGCTGGGTCCTGCCCTGGGGTCTTGGCACTTGTTGTCCCCATGTCTGGAACACTCAGAGCCGGGGAGAACAGTCCAGGCTTCCTTGTGCCTATGAGTAGGGCACATAGTGAGGAGAGGTCAGTGGGCACAAGGGACTGTATTAGCAGAGAGATGGGGATCAGATAAGAACAAGGTGTCTACCCAGCCAGTGCCGGCTTGGAGACAAGCTGATGACTGGGACTTGAGATGTAGTACATCACCCACAGGGGCCATCGGGAAACCGGCAGTGACATGTATGCTCAGTCGTGTACAACTCTTTGTGACCCCAAGATCTGTAGCCCGCTAGGCTCCTCTGTCCATGGGATTTCCCAGGCAAGAATACTGGAGTGGGTTGCCATGTCTTTCTTTCTCCAGGGGATCTTCCTGACCCAAGGATCAAACTTGTGTCTCCTGCACTTCTGAGCTACTGGGGAAGCCCATAGAAAATGGGAGGTGTTGGAAACACTCCTGGAATTTAGACTCTGCCTCGGGGAGACATGACCCTGAATCAGAAAGTGACTGGATTGCATTTTCTGCTCCCAGGTAGCATGGAGAGCTCCTAATGGCAGAAAAAGTCTGGTTGTACATCTTGCCCCCCGAGTCAACGGCCATCGCACATTCACACCTGCTACACCAATGTTGATGTTTCTGGAACAAAGTGCAGTAGCTGCTAACCTCACCAAACAGTGGCCCCTGGCTGCCCAGGATGGTTCTCTCTCACCCCGAAGTCACATCATGACCAGGAGAGTCCTTGTTCCTACCCTCAGCCCCTGTCCAGAGTTTGGTCAGGGCTTTTCTGATGATGACCATCCCCTCCTGGGTAACGGCAAGTGGGGCAGGACCTATGTTTTGCTGGCTTCAGGAGAGCCCTCCACAGCGACCACGTCCCACGGTCTCTGCAGTGGGCTCGAGTTCACACCAAATCATCAACATGAAGCACCCATTACTGAAGGCGCACCTAGCAGAAGCTCTATCCCAGTGATACCAGAGAAACACGACAGCATCCTGTCCCTGCCTGCGGTGGCGTGTAAGTCCTTCCCGGGTTGGAGAACAATCGTCACATTCTAGCCAGTAATTCCATGACTGTGCTGTTTGCCTCTACGCTTGTCGAGGTCTTAGTCCTTCCCCTTGTTAATTTTGGAGGAACCAGCTCTTCTGTGTGTGACTCTCACATCCCTCCAAACCTCAGCCCCAGTGATGGGTCTCAACTTCCCTGAAGGGTTTCTCTGTTCTGCCCCAGAAGGAAAGTGAGTCTGAAGGTTGAAATTCCTGTGCCATTCCAGGACAGGTATGGTTTCTAGGAGGTATTCAGGCAGCGTTTGAAATAGGTATCATAATAAAAATTGAAGGATAAGATTTGAATAAAACGAAACCAGAATTACTCATAGCTCATCTAGCCAGAGAAGGTTCTAAAGTTATCGCCACATACTTATTTTTCAACAGCATGTTGATGAAAAGGGAAATGAGCCAACTCAGGGTTATAATTGGATCTCAAGCAGCATGCCTGAGCTTTGTAGCCAGGATCAGGAGGCTTTGAGAACTGAGGTACCTGCTGCTATCTGATGCCAGACACCCAGTAGCAGGCGATTTAGCACAAAGCAGCTTTGAGTCACTGAAACGGAGCTATGGTCCTTGCCCTCCCCACCAGGTCCTCTGCCTACTTTCTGCCGGTGGAAAACTTTAGTCAAAGAGTAAGTTTAATCAGAGAAGTGAGAAATGCTCAAAAAGAGCAAAATAGTCTAAAGAGACTAAATGATAATAATATAGTCACTAAGCATAGTCAAGGGCCTTTAGTTCTTTCTCAAGGGCTGTAGATGATATTCTGAGCCACGTCCTGTGAGCTGTCTTAGAGATACCAAAATCCCAGACAAAGAAGTTAACTACATGATGATCAGACTGTACCCAGGGCTTGAGCTGTCACAATTCCGAGGACTGACTGCAAAGAAATGGGAACAAGTGCACTCCGGAACTAAAGATTCAGTTCAGTTGCTCAGTTGTGTCCAGCTCTTTGTGACTCCATGGACTGCAGTACGCCAGACTTCCCTGTCCATCACCAACTCCTGGAGATTACTCAAACTCATGTCCATTAACTCAGTGATGCCATCCAATCATCTCATCCTCTGTCATCCCCTTCTCCTCCTGCCTTCAATCATTCCCAGCATCAGGGTCTTTTCCAATGAGTCAGTTCTTCACATCAGGTGGCCAAAGTATTGGAGTTTTGCTTCAGCATCAGAACTTACAATGAATATTCAGGACTGATTTCCTTTAGGATGGACTGGTTGGATCTCCTTGCAGTCCAAGAGACTCTCAAGAGTCTTCTCCAACACCACAGTTCAAAAGCATCAATTTTTCGGCTCTCAGCTTTCTTTATAGTCCAACTCTCCCATCCATACATGACTACTGGATAAACCATAGCTTTGACTAGACGGACCTTTGTTGGCAAAGAAATGTCTCTGCTTTTTAATAAGCTGTCTAGGTTGGTCATAACTTTTCTTCCAAGGAGCAAGCGTTTTTTTTTTTAATTTCATGGCTGCAATTACCATCTGGAGTGATTTTGGAGCCCAAGAAAATAAAGTCTGTCACTGTTTCCATTGTTTCCCCATCTATTTTCCATGAAGTGATGGAACCAGATGCCATGTATTAGTTTTCTGAATGTTGAGTTTTAAGTCAACTTTTTCACTCTCCTCTTTCACTTTCATCAAGAGGTTCTTTAGTTCTTCTTTGCTTTTTGCCATAAGGGTGGTGTCATGTGCATGTCTGAGGTTACTGATATTTCTCCCGGCAATCTAGATTCCAGCTTGTGCTTCATCCAGTCCAGCATTTTTCATGATGTACTCTGCATATAAGTTAAATAAGCAGAGTGACAATATACAGCCTTGACATACTCCCTTCCCAATTTGAACCAGTCTGTTGTTCCATGTCCAGTTCTAACTGTTGCTTCTCAACCTTCATACAGATTTCTCAGGAGGCAGGTCAGATGGTCTGATATTCCCATCTGTTGAAGAATTTTCCACAGTTTGTTGTGATCCACACAGTCAGAGGCTTTGGCACAATCTATGAAGCAGAAGTAGATGTTTTTCTGGAACTCTTGCTTTTTCGATGATCCAGTGGATGTTGACAATTTGATCTCTTGTTCCTCTGCCTTTTCTAAATCCAGCTTGAATATCTGGAAGTTCATGGTTCATGTACTGTTGAAACCTGGCTTGGAGAATTTTGAGCATTACTTTGCTAGCGTGTGAGATGAGTGCAATTGTACGGCAGTTTGAACATTCTTTGGCATTGCCTTTCTCTGGAATTGGAATGAGAACTGACCTTCTCCAGTCCTGTGGCCACTGCTGAATTTTCCAAACTTGCTGGCCTATTGAGTATAGCACTTTCACAGCATCATCTTTTAGGATTTGAAATAGCTCAACTGGAATTCCATCACCTCCACTAGCTTTGTTCTAACTGTACCTAAAACAACATGATGCTAGTCAGACCACTGATGACCAACTGAAGATGACTATTAGAGATGACTGTGCTGTTTCCGTGTGAAGCCTCCCCCCAATTCTGTCTATAAAAGCTCTCACCCCCTGCGTGTCAGGTGGGGGGGTTGGCCTTTGGACAGATGTCTGTCATCCTCTCTCCGCGCCCGCCCCCCATCAAAGTTGCCAGTAACTGAAATAAAGCAAACTTTTATTTCCACCAACCTGTCCTGTTTACAGGCTTTTGAGCGGCAGCGGCTAGAGACCTCACGCATACCTTCGGCTAACATCATGAACCCATCAATCTGTAAACCGGTGCTCAGGCTAAAATATGCAACCATTTCTATTTCTTTCTGGTACTAATTTCACAGACTTTTGCTGCAGAATTGTAGACCTGGAAGGGATACTTGAAGCGTTTTGTAGAGGAGGGGTTGAGTACCGGGTCCACACTAGGTCACAGGGCTTCCTGGGGTAGCGCTTGTGGGAACCCTGACCCTGACCCTGGGTAAGACCCACCAGAAGCCGTTTCTCATAGCACCTGATTCATATCAGCCGAATACACAACCTGGCACCGTGAACAACCTCACACCTTTTCTTGGATTTTTAGACAAAACGGGAAAAGTACCCGTTCTGATATTCCGACCCGTTTAGCCTCACAGAAGAACCATCCCTTCTGTTGGGCGGTGGCCCGGCTATCTTGCGCTGGAAAAATGGCCGAGTAGAGAAGTCTCAAGCTTGGGTTAGTAGGAGGTGTGGTCAGCTTTCAGACGGAAACAGGGTTCGAGGATGGACTGGACCGGGAGCCCCAGCAGAGGTGACCCAAGGCACATCCCCGCTTCTCTCCGTCTCTCCCAGGAAAGCAGAGGACATGGCGCCCGCCCCGCGCCCCGCCCCCACAGGCCCGCGGACGCACAGACTCCTGGGTAAATCCTTCCCATTGCCGCTGCATCCTCGGGGGAGGGCCCGCCTAGGGGAATTATCGGCCCCAGCAGAGTGTCTCTGTTGCGCCTTAACAGCTTGGGACGCGAGTTCCAGTCTGTGGATCACTTCTAAGTGGGGCTCTGTGTGGGGAGAGAGGGGAGCCAAGAAACTGGCCTGAAGGGTTATGGAGAACTCTCTAGAACCACCATCCCATAGTACCTGTTTGTAGAACTCAGCCTGTGGTTCAGGGGATAAAGTTTCTTCTCTAAGAAGTTTCTCTTAGAAACAGGAAACAGTTGCTAGTTTGTATTATCCCTCCATGGTGGGAAGCCACAGGGAAATATGTTCTCATTGTGGTAGAGTATCTACAGCATAAAAACTTGCCCTTTTGCCCATTTGTAAGTGTGATTCAGCGGCCTTTAGTACTTTGACATTGTTGTGCATCCATCAACGCTGCTTTCAAACTTTAAACTCAAGCAGAAACAGTGTACTCAGGAAGCAATAAACTCCCCACTCCCTAAGCCATAGAGACACAAGAGACGCCAGTTCGATCCTTGGGTTGGGAAGATCCCCTGGAGGAGGAAATGGCAACCCACTCTGGTGTTCTTGCCTGAAGAATCCCTTGCAGAGAAGAGCCTGGTGGGCTACAGTCCTTGGGGGTCTTAGCGTCAGACACGACTGAGCACACTCGCTTCTGTATCTGCATCCCTCTCGCCCTCCAGGCCACCCGGAACCTCTATTCTACTTTCTATGTCTGTGAATTTGCCTAGATACTGCATATAATGGAATCATACAATAGTCATCCTGTTGTGTCTGGCTTATTTCACTTAATGTTTTCAAGGTTAACCCCTGATTAAGGAGAGTTTTAAAATAAATATTCAGTGCTCGTAGAAAAGTTTGATAGTATAATAATTAGAAATAAAATGATTGAGGGCTGCCCTGATGAAAATTAACCTTTCCCAAGCACTTTCTATGTGCCAGGCACTATACTGGGAAGGGCACATAGTTGTTTTTAAAATCCTTTCAAGAATAGCATGATGAAGAGCTTGTCATCTTCATATTACAGGTGAGGATGAACGAGATGAAGCCAAATGGTTCTAAGGGTTGAGTCAGTCATTTGGCGCTGGGTTAATTCTTACCTTCTCAACTGCCCTGGCTGTCCCACAATTCCTTCCTTGCTTTCTTCCCCCACCTCACTGCTGTTTGAACCTTTAAGTTAGCACCTACTACAGGCTTCCCTCATAACTCAGATAGTAAAGAATCTGCCTACAGTGCAGGAGACCCGGATTCGATTCCTGGGTTGGGAAGATCCCCTGGAGAAGGGAATGGCAACCCACTCCAGTATTCTTGCCTGGAGAATCCCATGGACAGAGGAGGCCTGGCGGGCTACAGTCCATGGGGTTGCAAGAGTTGGACACGACTTAGCAACTGAACCACCAAACCACCATCACAGACTCCTGAGTATTAGAGTTATTTTTGTGTTATGTCCTGACTGCCTGATGGGATGGGTTTTGGAGAGAAGACACTGATTTTCAGGGCTCAAAACCATGGTTGGCACACTGCAGGCTGTAATAAATGTTTGCAGACTTGATTGAACAGCACGCCTGCCACAGTTACACTTTGTACAAAGAGCACCCCCTCTTCCCCCCACGCCTCCCCCCTCCCGGGGGCTCTTAAATTCGTTTAATCAAGGTTTTTGTTTTGAACCAGGAAGCGACTTGGCTTGTTTCCTGGAATTGACTTAATCTCCCCACCTGTGATCTCATTTCTCGCTTGGTTCAGCACACCCCCCCCACCCCCCATCCCAGAGGTCTTAGAAAAAGGAGAACCTTAGGTCTTTGCTGTTGCCACAATATTGGTTTTTTTTTTTTTTTTGACTGTTTCTTAATAGTTTCTTCTTTCAGCTTTGTAGGATACATGTGAATCAGAGTCCAAGCAAATATGATTACACGCACATTTTTCATATTCCTGGCTTTCCCTCTAACCCAGAGGAGAGCCACAAAAAGGCCCACCTGCTTCTGACAAGCGTGGTTAGTAAATTAAACTCTGGCTGTGCGTGTGTTCAGGAGGATAACAGGGAATTTGCATTACAGAGGAATACCCGCAGCCACACAAAGAATCTTGAGAGACAGGCAATACCACTGGGTGGGGGTGGGAGGGGTGGGCTATGAGGGTCTATGGAAGGAAGGCATCCTTTACGAGTGCTGAGTGCTCCTCCGTCTGGCCTCTGGGGCCCTCTGAGGCTCTGCAAGAGTTTATGCAGGAAGAACCAAGAGGCAGCAGTAAAAGACAGGGCAGGGGTAAATTACGAACTGAGTTTCAGTCAAGATATTATTAAAGAAGTTGTTAAAAAATGGCTCAGTAGGTTCACTGGGATGCCTGGTATTGTGAATAAATACATCTTAAGATCTTCTCCCAAGTAACTGTCCAAAGGATGTCATTTCCTTTCTTTCCCTGATCCCCGTTAGTGTAAAGTGGGTGAAGTTTAATCTGAAATATGGAGAACCTGGTGGCTCAGTGGCAAAGAATCCACCTGCAGTGCAGGAGACACTGGTTCAAACCCTGATTCAGGGAGATCCCCTGGAGAAGGAAATGGCAACCCACTCCAATATTCTTGCTTGGGAAATCCCCATGGACAGAGGAGCCTGGCAGGCTACAGTCCATGGGGTCCAAAGGGTTGGACATGACTTAGCAACTGAACAACAACAACAAAACATATTGAGAATTTAGATTTTTGATCAAGCAAGAAAGTTGACGGTAGTTGTAAATTACTCCCTTGCTTAAGAATCTATCATGGCTTCTCATCACCTGTGGGATAAGCAGTTTGGCTTTAATACAAGTCTCTCCATCCCAAGGTCCCTTTGCTCATCTCATATTCTTCCTGGTCAGTCCCAGCAAACTGCCCTCTGCTCTCACCAAGACCCTTTATCCTCCGCTTCCAAAACATGCCCACTCTCACTCCCTGTTTCCCTGATGAAAATGCCCTTCCATTCAAACTTATCCAGACCTAGTGGTCTCCTGCTGGATCATCCTCTGTTGAGTCCAGTTCACACTGATACATCCCTGTTCTGAAAGCAGGCATCCCCAAAGACTGCTGGTGGAGTATGAATTGGTGCCAAGTGGAAAAAAAAATCAAGAGCCTCATAAATATCTACAGGGAGTGCTCAAAGGACTAAGAAAAATATCCGAAAAGCTATTCACCCTCATTCACAATCAATGTAATGCAAATCAAAGCAAATTAGATTAATATTCAGATAACACTTTCTACCTCTTCATTTGGCAGTTATGGAAAAATGCCAGGGCTTGGAGTTGATGAGGGTGTGTGGAGTGTCAATTGGTAAAATCTTTGGCAGGACCCCTTTGGCACTGTGAATGAAATACATATGCCAGTTGACAGAGAATCCCACCTCTAGGAGTTTATCAGAAAGAGCGTGCATGCGTGCTCAGTTGCTAAGCCTTGTCCGAGTCTTTGTGACCCTGTGGACTGCAGCCTGCCAGGCTCCTTGGTCCATGGATTTCTCCAGGCAAGAGTACTGGAGTGGGTGGCCATTCCCTTCTCTATAACTGGCCCATGTGCCTTGTTACGGGCTGAGTTGTGTCCCTAAAAAGATATACTGACATTCTAACTCCTGGACCTGTGAACATGACTTGATTTGGTGCTTCTCATGAATCAAAATGGTTACCTTAAAGGTGGTATAAACAGTAAAGAAGACTAAATTTTAAACAGTTTGCACTCATATGTGAAGGGCAGTGGCCCCAGAGTGTACCTGAGACATTGCTGTGACACCCCCACCCCGTCTGTGCAGAGTTGACGTCACAGATGACAGCTGGTTTCTCAGGGGACTTGTCCCATGGAGTGTCTCCTGGTGGTTATGTCTGGACACGGCCAAGGAGGCAATCCACACACTGTCAAGTAATCTCGTCACATGACCCAGTGTCTGCTATTCGTTCCTTTGCCTCTATTCTCCCAGAACATACTTGTCTTCCTGAGAAGACTCTCTCCCCAAATCAATCACATAACACAGTACAGGTGTCAAGGCAAAGCCTTTTGATCCAGAATAAATTCAGCTACCTGCTTTGCTCCATTGGCTGGTTTCATATTAAGGTGATTCACGTTAACTCATTTTTCTTTGCCACGTGTCCCGGGCTTGTAATTTATAAACCAGATGGGGACACCAATTAAACTTTAGAGTTTGCTTCTGTGGTGCTTAAGCTGAGGTTCGTAATGACAAGCCTGGCAGTCATCAGTGTATCTGCTACACTTGCAGTGATTTAGAGGGAACGCTGTGGCTACCGCTTGGAATAAAAATGAACAAACTCTATAAATTTAACTTAGAGGAGTTATACCGTGATCTGGAGAAGGCACTGGCACCCCACTCCAGTACTCTTGCCTGGAAAATCCCATGGATGGAGGAGCCTGGTGGGCTGCCGTCCATGGGGTCACTAAGAGTTGGACACGACTGAGTGACTTCACTTTCGCTTTTCACTTTCATGCATTAGAGAAGGAAATGGCAACCCACTCCAGTGTTCTTGCCTGGAGAATCCCAGGGATGGGAGCCTGGTGGGCTGCCGTCTCTGGGGTCGCACAGAGATGGACACGACTGAAGCTACTTAGCAGCAGCAGCAGCAGCATACCGAGATCACCCAGAAATGTATTACAGAAACTTATTTTGTTTTTGTTTAAAGCTGCTGGAATGCTTCTCGCAAGATCTCTGGTTTAACCAGGAGCGTCCTTTCAATGAGTACAGAATGGGGCCACCTGCCCACTGGACCAGCTTCAGAACTAGCACTTGACCAGAAGTGCTGTTCTGATCTGCTCAACAGGAGTGGACACCTTATTCCATCTACGAAGGAGCAGTCGGCTGGGGGCGCATCATCATTGGTGGGTCCGGAAGAGTTGGAGCAGCGAGGGGTCATCTTTCTTTCAAGTCCTTGCAGAGGGGTCACTGTCTATCTGCAGAACCGGAGGGAGACCACCCCCCGCCCCGAGTTTCCTTCAGTTCCATGATAAGGAGTGTAATTGGATTTAAAAGAACAGAAACACTGCTGTCACTCCCCTCTCACATTGTCTTTGTTCATCTGCTATTACTTATTCACTGATAGATTGTATTAGCGGTTCGTTTCCTGCCATCCGCTCATGCATCAGCCTTCTGCAGTCAGGATTTAATTGTGCTGCTCTGTGATGGCCTGCTTGTTCTCCTGGCCCCTCTTTCATTCTTCCAACTCCCGCTGGGTTGAGAGTCAAGCTGATGATAATCCTCAGATTTTGTTTTCTTTTAACCATCATCTATCTATGCTAGGTGTCTCTTGTTTCATTTTACTTTATTTCCATCCCATCCAAACTCCCACTTCCTTCATGACCATTCCACAAGTGGACTAATGACTATCATATTGTGTTTTCTATGTAATTTATTTTGTAGAAGGATATATATGTACATGGCTTCCCAGGTGGCGCTAGTGGTAAAGAACCTGCTTGCCAATGCAGGAGACATAAAAGATGCAGGTTTGATTCCTGGGTCACCAAGTTCCCCTGGAGGAGGGCATGGTAACCCACTCCAGTATTCTTGCCTGGAGAATCCCATGGACGGAGGAGCCTGGTGGGCTACAGTCCAGAGGGTCGCACAGAGTCAGACACGACTGAAGCGACTTAGTATGCATACATGTATGTATATGTGTGTGTGCTTCAGTTGGACACGACTGAGCGACTTAGCGTGCACACATGTATGTACATGTGTGTGCTTCAGTGGCTCAGACCCTACAGTCCCTAGCCCACCAGACTCCTCTGTCCATGGGGTTCTCCAGGCAAGAATACTGGAGCGGCTGCCATTTCATTCTCCAGGGGAGCTTCCTGACCCAGGGATTGAGCCTGTGTCTCCTGCTTCTCCTGCATTGGCAGCCAGCTTCTTTACCACTGAGCCACCAGGAAAGCCCAAGCTCTTATCATATCATTTTAATATCCTTCATGATGTCAAAGCTTGCCCTCGTGTTTCATTTTAACTCTTGCCTTCCTAGACCTAAGAATTTTATCTTCCAATTTTCTTTTTGTGAACAGAAAACAAGTTCATGATTTTCATCATCTTGGCCTTTTCACCTCGGCCATGTCTTAATTTCCATTTTACAATTTGAATTTCTATATTTAGAAGAAATGAAACTTTCTCAAGCTTTGGTTCTAGGTATTAAAAAAAAAATGTTGTCTTTATTCTTTTGGTAAAGTCTTGGCATACCTGTTTACTTACCTGTCCCAAAAGATGTTATTCATCATGTACCCAGAGACTGAATTAAGATGAATGGAAAGGCAGAAAAAAAAAGAACCCCCCCTCCTCCCCCCCGCCAACATTGCCTTCTCTTCCTGACAAAATTTGTTAAGCTTAGGTCCTTTGCAAGCATGTTGTTATGTTTATGTGTTGGGGGCGGGTTGCTGGTAGAAAGGAATCTTCGGTTCAGGGATTATTTAGCCAGGTTTCTCTGAATTCATGGTCTTCAGAGTGACCAAGGCAAGACGTGCATTTGTGAACGATAACTCATATAACACTTGCTGTAAAGAGTTAGCTCTTGGACATAGGTTCTTTGGGGAGGACATAAACTCTCTAAAAATATTAATACAACTGTTTCCTCTATTCCAACCACCAGGCCATGTCATCACCGACAAAGAGAAAACGGTGTTTCTTTAATTACCTCTCTGCGTGCATCTGTCCCTAATACTCTCTCCTCAGCTTCTCTACTCCCTGTTCATTGAACAGATACTGTGTTCCGCAAAATAAAGTCGCCATCTTCCTGGACTCACCAACCTCTGTGTCCTCACAGCGGATGGCAGGGGGCCTGGGTGAGGGAGGAGGCAGGTGGTTTTCAGATGCCCTTGCTGCTGATGGTAAATCCTGAACGGGCCATCTCATTCTTTTTAAAATTCATTTCTTATGAACTTTTACAAGTACCGGTTTTCTCGGGGGACTTTCTGACATTCTCCCGCACCTGTTGGATCACACTCCCAAAGTGGAATCATGACAAAGAACCTCAGGGTGCAGCACCTTCTAAATGGACCTCAGAGTTATTGCTATTGATTGGCCTTGGGAATTCCTGAAGCACAGAGGTTGGGCTTTTAACTGGAATTAACACTTCTTTGGTGTCCATTTCAAGGCTTCACTGAAAATTGATCAGCAGGAAATGGCTTCCCAATGGTAAGTGAGGACTAGGCAATGTGAATAATAAGAACCGCAGCTCTTAATGTACAACAAGTGCATTTAGAACCATCTAAGCCTCCAGACACATTGTAAATCCCTGTTACCTAGCTCACTGGCCAGGATTCATTTATCCATTATCCGGCACTATGCCCTCATCTCAAACTAGGCTCGGAATATATTCTAGACACCATGTAACTCTAACCAAATTTAACCAAGCTGTGTAAATTAATCCAAAACACAAAGCCAATGTGTACTAAGCTCCTTTTAAGAAAAATGGGGGAGGGGAGGAGTTCACAGCAAATGAAGGTTAAGGAAGGCTGCATCCGTTTGAGACCTGTCTTTGGGGAGTGACTGTAACTGCACTGCTTTTAGAAAGATTACCTTCCAAAGAGATGTGTAGTTCAGTGCCTGGAACTTTCTTTGCTGAAAGGTTGAAAAGAGCTTCTAAGTTAAACAAGTGGAACAAAATACAAAGAATCGCTTTAAGGATAATTAAAACTATTTTGGACTTTTTTATTTATCAATCTGGTTTCTAATATAATTTTACTTAAATGAAAGACATTCACAAAGAAGAGTAGGCATACATACATAATTTCCTTCTTTCATTCTAGTTTACATGCTGTTGCTTTTAGAGAGTGAAATTTCCTGGTTATTTCACAGGGATAGAAAGCCTAATTGACTTTACAGAAAGAATATTAGCCCAGCCTTTTCACAACTTCAACCCCTGCAGTTCACCATGTTCACTGAAAAAAAAAACAGTCAAACCCCAAATACCTGACAAAACAAAACTTAGAATCAGTGACATTGAGAACTGTTTCTTGGCCTATAAGTTGGGAGGAATCTCCATGTTTCTAGAACCATCTCAAAATCCAGCAATTGCTGTAAATAAACTGACACTCAGAAAATGGTGCAGCCCATCTAAGTAGACGGGCTCTTAAAGCACGTTTTCATCTGGAAAATAAACTTGTAAGTGCCTGGTGAGCATTAATATCCATGTGCCCAGTGATCTACTTTACCTTCAGCCAGTCTTTGCTCCATGGGAGGTAACCAACTTTTCAACATGGTTTCCCTATTTCATTGACCATGAGTTGCACATATCAGTTGTATCAAAAGAAATACTGCTGTGAAATAAATTTAAAGTTTCCATCATGCAGGGTGTGTGCAGTTTAGGCAGAGAGTCACTGGGCTATGTGAAATAGTCATATCAGCTGTTCATGTTGTCTTATTTATAAGCCATTTCAATCACACTGGGGTGCGGTAAGCTGCAAGTCACATCACACCTAGGTGGGAACTTGGGGCTTTATACATAGGAGTTATGATTTCTCTGGCCCTTGGCTGTGTTGCATCTCCTGATGTTGACAGAATAGCTCCCTGGCAGTCTCCCTGACTCCGAATCTAATAGCTGTACAACAATGCCTCATGTTTCCACACTCTTGGACTTGACTGCTTGGTTTCTTTTGAGATGACTTACAACCACAAGCTGGAAAGTAAGACTTCCAATAGGTCCACTGACTTGGCCTTTATGTTTGGGTTTCAAAGTATCTGCAGCCAAGGATCCATGGCACCTCCCCATTGTGTTATGAAGCAGATAAAAAACAGCCCGATCTTACATACAAGGCAAAGAGGAACAGAGAGGCTCAGCCACCTGGCTGAGGTCACAGAGCATGTCAGAGAGAGAAAAGGGTTTGCACTCCATCAGCTGAGTCTCAGGATCCACTCTCACCAAAACATTATTTTAAAAACGGCATCCGTTGGTCTTCAGCCCAAATCAGTTGGGCACACTGTTTGTTCCTCATCTATTTCAGGATGAGGCGGTTCTGTTGGGACTAGCAATTTAGACCTATTTTTTTGGCTGGCTCATTGGAATTCAGTTTAACAATTGTTGCCTTTCTCTTTGAAAACTGCTTGGGCAGGATGGTGAAAAGGAGGAAAAAACAGTAACAGGTTCCAGCCAGGTACTCATCATTTGGAGATGTGAGATGTCAAGGGACCATAAAAACGTTTACACCATAAGAGAAAGGAGAGAGTGAAAAAGAACACATGGAAGAATAGAAAACAACAGATGGAGAAGGAAGTAAAAGTTTCACACTGACACTGCATTTTCCTAACAGGGACATGTGCTTTTCCTTTGGAAGTCTCTACGGTTTGTGTCATTGTGCCCAACTCTCAGCGCCATCTAGTGGCTGCCCTGCAGATGTTCAACAACAACATGAAATCTACTTTTGGGCTCACGCCCATCTCTTTTCCCTGCCTGTAAGTAATCCTGCTCCTGTAAGTAAAGAATGCTTGCTTGTCAAACGCAGGGCAACAGGGACTTTTCCAACAAAAACTCTCAAACTCTTGTCTCCAACTCCTCGACAAAAACTCCCACACAACAGGTATCTCTCTTTTTTTGAGCAGTTGCTTGAAAGTCGTAAGGGGAAAGTCATAAGTCTTTTATGCTAAGAAGGGCCAGAGAAGAGCTTAAGAACATAACTTCTTACCTCCTGAGCTAGCTTCCTTGAACTCAAGGAAATATGCTGAGAGTTCAGACTGGCACTGATTTTGCATTCATTCAAAGTCTCCAATCCTAGCAACTCAAAACAGAGATGCTTGGTTTGTACACAGACGATGTTTCCTGCATGAACAACCCAGGATCAATCATCAGCTTCCCCTGAAACGTTAAAACACCTCTTATTTAAAGGAAACTTTGTATTTTTTTATTTTTTTTTCTGGTTATCACTGAAAGAGCTACCGCTAGCCTCTTGGTGCTCTACCGGTGAGCTGTTGGATCAGCTTTGGCCAGATATGATTGACAAAGCAAGGCTGGGCACCGAGCTTGGGCCGCCTGGGGAGCTGGAAAGAAGAGGGCAGCTTCCTTTTCTGCACGTAAACAAAATTAGTTAGCATTTAGAAGGTGCTATAGATAGTACCCTCACAGATAAGAGTCAGGGATCTGGGTGAGGACTGCAGTCCCACAGAGGAGACTTCCAGCACGCATTTGGCACGTTACTTCAGTACTTAATACCTTATCCACTGTGTTGCATCCTGTCCACTGGCTGGGCTACTACCCCCTTCAGGGCAGAGACTGTCTCAAATGATGCTGTGATGGGAGAAACACCGGCCCCGGCAGGCATCCTGGTGCCCTACGTTTGAAAATTTGGGGAGAAGTGTTAGGTTTTATTTTCCACTTTTCTGTGACAAGAGAAAAGAGGAGAGAAAGGGTAGGAACGTTTTAGTTGAAGGGGCTATGTTTGATTGTTTTAAATTCTTAATAATTTTGGAAAGATAGGGAAAGTGCTCAGACAATGTATGTAGAATAAAACTATCATGGGAAATATAATAAATAACAAATTTCCATCTGGTGTTATTTGTCAAGTGTAAAAGTGATACCTGTCAAATACGTTTTAAGAAATCAGAAACATTTTAAAACATAAAGTTTGCTTTTTCAATTTGACAATATAGAAAAGAATCCTTAATGGCAGTCATCTTGGTCAAATTAATAATCTTTGTTATGTCCTTGTAAATGTCATGTTCTAATTATTTATTTACAATGAATGCTTTTCATGTTAAATGCATTTTAGGGAAGAATGATCAAGACTGCTTTATATAAAGGGTGTTTATGCTCATGCCTGAAGTCAGCAACTGTAAAAGGGCACTAGGATTCCCTTTTGTTCTGTGACCTCAACTTAAATGTGGATTAATTGGTCTACTGTCTCCTTTGGAATGTGCCAGGCACTGGTGCCAGGTGCAGTAAAGATAACATGTCCCATCATTCAAGAAACTGAGATCCTCTAATAAGTAAGGTATCCCGAAGTGTCCTGAATACATAACCCAAACGAACTAGAATTTCCATTTTCTTGAAGCAGGCCACCTGATCAATAGTACCATTTTAACCTCATCTTACCTCCTTCCAGGAGGAGAAAGAAAAAAGTGTTATTTAATGCCTCAAAACATTGGAGTCTAAGAAAATTTTAACATACTTATTAAGTCTAACAGCCTGAGCTGTAATGATCATAAATGTTGTTATTCTAGAAATAACTTCTGTGTAATCTTCTTGTAAAATAAATACATGAAATTATTTTTTGGATGCTCCAATAGGAGTGTTGTCCACTGGTCTACAGAAACAGTCAATTAGTTTCAAATAAATAGTTCCTTGCCGGAATTAGTTGATCAAGGCTCCTGATTACACTGAGGTCTGGTTGACCAGACATGTCCATCCTCTGAGCAGCAACGGTCAATTCCCAGGTTGTGATGAACCTGAACTTCAGATCTATCTGCCAAACAAAGTCCCTGAATCATGGCCATGCGTCTATTTAGGATGGAATAACATATGGAGTAGATGAGTTAGAATAGGGCAGGGTTTTCCACATGATTCCAGAATAATAGCAATGACGAGCACAATCACAACTTGGCTTTATTTTGGTTCGTCCATTCAGAGGACACTGTCTGCTAGGATCTTGTCACAGGTGCATAAAGAGCAGATAAAGCAAAAGAAGAAGAGCAACCTAACTTACGCATTCTCTAAGAAGTGTCCACATTCCCGCTACCAACTATAAAGACACAGAGCGAACACATCTCAACATCTGGCTCTAATTCCCCACCGGGTGCTCAGACACACGTGCAGTCTAACCCAGGATCTTGTAGGTAAAGCAAAGGGAAAACCTTTTGTCTTGGCTGATCACCAGGTGCTGTAGCTGACAGTTATAGACACCGGATGGGTCTAAGACTATAGATGCGGAGCGGTGTAATCGCGTAGAATCTGATTCAAAGTGAAACCAGCGATCCAACAGGGACTGCTTCCCCGGGTCTGAGGGCTTCTCTGGGTTGTTCTGATGGTTCTGTCACACAGGAGGGACCGCGACCCTCTCCTTCCAGTGGGAACTCTCAGAGAACGGGCACACACTGAGGTCTCTCTGAAGACTGGTAAATCACAGCTTCCCTCTGTCCCTTCCTTTCCTTTTCCAATTCACAGGACACCAAAGAAATATCTTATGAACACGAACTAGTTACTACCACAGCCCATTAGAGGCTGACTCTATGTAAAAAGAAGGAAACGCGGGAGGCCATGTACATGTGCATCAACTTTTCTCCAGGGAAAATATCCACGTTCTAAGGGCGCTGAAAATTGTAGAAAACGGGCCCTGTTACTGTGGGTTTTCAGAACACCTCTCTAAACACACACAAAATATTCGACAGATAGTACCTACAAATGTTGACCATCGCTTAAACTCTAAAAGCAGTTTTTGTATTACTTTTGTTTTCATACAGAAGGGGAAACTCAGCTATAAAGAAATATCAAAAAGTATTTCTTTGTTTTTTGTGGCCATCAGTCTCCAGGAGTTTGCCGTCGCTTGCCTCCCCCGGCTTGTGCTGATATCTGAAGGGTGTGCTCAGGGTACGAAGTAGGGTGCTTCTGTCCCTTGCCCTCCTCCCTGGTCACGCTCCCCACTTCCCTCGCCCCCCACTTCCCGGAGCCAAAGAGCCGCGCCTCAAATGAGCCATTCCTTTTTGCTCTCGTCGATGGTCTCTGTGAAGTTGGGGTCGTTGTTCATGATGGCGGCGTCGGCGCTCTCGGCGGACTCCGCCCCCTTCGCCTCGTTGGTGTGGTAGGTGCCCTTGTGACGGAACATGTAGCGAATGAGGAAGACCAAGGTGCAGAGGATGGTGAAGATCACCACGGCAATGACCCCTGGGGGACACAGGACAGAGGGGCGAGAGGTTAAACACAGCCCGAGGGGCCCGCCAGCACCCCTCCCCTCTTCACCATGGCTCCCTCAGGGAGCCTCTCCCACTCGAGACACAGAACTCCCAAACAGCAAAACCCAACTGCACCGAGGGGAGAAGGAGACCGGTTTCCACAGTTATATTGGAGATTTCAACACTTTTCTCCTAGGAGTTGGCAGAACGATGAAACAGAAAATCAGTCAGCGTTCAGTTCAGTCGCTCAGTCGTGTCCGACTCTTTGCGACCCCATGAATCACAGCACACCAGGCCTCCCTGTCCATCACCAACTCCCGGAGTTTACTCAAACTCATGTCTATCGAGTTGGGATGCCATCCAACCATCTCATCCTCTGTCGTCCCTTTCTCCTCCTGCCCCCAATCCCTCCCAGCATCAGGGTCTTTTCCAATGAGTCAACTCTTTGCGTGAGGTGGCCAAAGTATTGCAGTTTCAGCATCAGTCCTTCCAATGAACACCCAGGACTGTAGGATGGACTGGCTGGATCTCCTTGCAGTCCAAGGGACTCTTCAAGAGTCTTCTCCAACACCACAGTTCAAAAGCATCAATTTTTCGGTGCTCAGCTTTCTTCACAGTGTTCAGAAGGCCTCAAAACACTGTTTTGACCTAAGGAAGTAATACCAGACCTACCCGTCTGTCTGAAAGCACAGGAGAAGGATATACCACTCAACTCATTTTAAGAGGCCAGAATTATCCTGACACTATTGCCAGACAAACACACTACAAGAAAATTATGGAGCAGTGTCCCTTCTAAGTAAAATTTTAGCAAATCAAACCCAGCAATATGTAAAGGGGAATAGATTATAACAAAATGGTATTTATTCTAGGAATGTAAAATTGATTTAACATTTAAAAATAATGTAATTTACCACATTAAGGAAATAAAGGAGAAAAACTTTTATTTATCAATAGATGCACATGACTAAAAAATATGAGAAATTTCAACACCCATTTATCTTGAAGCCTCTCAGGAAACTATCAAAAGAAAGAAACTTTCAACTTTGATAAAGGGCATCTTTGAGAAATCTGCAGCTAATATTCTACTTAATAGTGAAAGATTAAACACATTCTCCCTAAAATATGGAAAAATGCAAGAGTGTCAACTCTCATCACCTTAATTCATGACTGTACTAAAAGTTCTAGACAGTGCAATAAAATAAGAAAACAAAAAGTATACCGATGGAGAAGGAGAACTCTATTCTCAGATGACAGGATTGTCTATGTAGAAAATACTAAGGGATATACAAAAAAAAGTTGCTGGAACTGACAGTAAATTTAGCAAGGTGAAATTTATATTTTTATATATTAGCAAGAAATACTTGGAGATGAAAATAATAAAATAGTGCCATTTATAACAGAATGAACTGAACACAGTGGTTCAAGACTATACACTGAAAATCATATAACCTTGCTGAGAGAAACTAAAGAAGACCTAAATAAACGGATTACCATATTTCAGTGTCAATATTGTAAGATATTCACTGGTAGATTTAATGCAATCCAGTGAAAATAATAGCGTTTTACTTTGGATAGAAATGTATAAGCTGATTCTAAATTTTATATGGCAATGCAAAGGACCCAGAATAGTCAAAGTAGTTAAAAAAAAAAAAAAAGAAATGATTGTAGAGCTTACATTGCTTATTTCAAGCCTTACTGTAAAGATACAATAATAAAGTAAGCGTAATATTGGCCAAAGAAATATATGTAAATCAACAAAACAGAATAGAGTCCAGAAAAAAGACATACAAATATATAGACAACTGATTTTTGACAAAAGTAACATGGAAATTAAATCAGAAAAAAAATAGTCTTTTCAACAAGTCATCTCAGAATAACTAGATATTTGTTTGGCAAATGATGATTTTTGACTTTTATCTCATACTATATATAGCTATTAACTCACAGTGACTATGTGTATGTGTTAGTCGCTCAGCTGTGTCCAACAATTTGTGACCCCACAGACTCTAGGCCACCAGGCTCCTCTGCCCCTGGCAATTCTCTAGGCAAGAATACTGGAGTGGGTTGCCATTTCCTTCTCCAGGTGATCTTCCCAACCCAGGGCTTAAACCTGGGTCTCCCACATTGCAGACAGATTCTTTACCACCTGAGCCACTAGGGAAGCCCCCCAAAATGATTATAGGCTGAATAATAAAACAAAAGGTATAAAACTTCTGGGAGAACACAGGAGAAAAATCTTCATAACCTTGGGGTTGGCAGATTTTTAAAAAGGATTAAAAAAAAATCACAAACTGTAAAAAGGTTAGAAAGTTGGACTTTATAAAAATTAAAATCTCCTGCTTTTCAAAAATCACCACTAAGAAAATGAAACAATGAGAATACAAGAAAAACTCTTACAACTCAATAGAAAGAAGTCAGACAATCCAGTTAAAAGAGGAGGAAGATTAAATAGATACTTCACAAAAGATTTGCAAACAGCGATAAGCATGTAAAAAGATGCTCATAAGTCATTTGATAGTTGCACATTAAAACCTCAGTGAGGGGGCTTTCCTGGCGGCTCAGTGGTAGAGAATCCACCTGCCAATGTAAGAGACACAGGTTTGATCCCTGGGCCAGAAGATCCCTCGAGCTGTGGAGCAACTAGGCCCGCATGCCACAACTACTGAGCCTGAGCTCTAGTAGCCACAACTACTGAACCCACATGCCACAACTGCTGAAGCCTGAGCGCCGTAGAGCCTGTGTTCTACAACGGGATAAGCCATCACAACGAGAAGCCTGTGCACTGCAACTGGAGAGTAGCCCCCCACTCACTGCAACGAGAGAAAAGCCTGTGCAGCAACGAAGACCCAGCACAGCCATAAAGAAATAAAATTAAAAACAAAAAGATACTATAAACAGAAAAAGACTATTAAAAACAAACAAGGCACAGTGAGTTACTACCACTCATCAACTAGATGGCTACAAAGAATGACAGTACCAAATGTTGGCAAGATCGTGAAGCAATTTGACCTCTCAGATGTTGCTTATGGAAGCATAAAATGGTTCAACCATTTTGGCAAACTATATGGCCATTTCCTGTAAAGTTAAATATCTACAATAACCCAGCAACTATACTCCTAGGAATTACCAGAGAAACTAAAACTTTTGTTCACACAAGACGAGAATATCCTTAGCAGCTTTTGTCCAAACAGCCCAAGCCTGGAAACAACCCAAACATCTATCACCAGGTGAGTAGATAAAGCAAACTGTCCTTCATTCATACAAAGGAATACAACTTGGCAATACAAATAAGCAGGCCACTGGTCATCCAACAACGTCGACAGATTCTCAAAAACATGCTGAGGGAAAGAAGGCACAACAGATTACATACTATGTGATTCCAGTTCTGTGAAACCCTAAAAAGAGGCAAAAGAAATCCACGTGACAAACGCAAGTGAAGTGGGGGAGGGGCGAATTACAAGGGGGTACAGGAGAACTTTTAGTGGATGGAAATGTTCTGTATCTTGATTGTGGCTGTGGTTATAGGCATATGTTGGAGAAGGAAATGGCAACCCACTCCGGTATTCTTGCCTGGAGAATTCCATGGACAGAGGAGCCTGGTGGGCTGCAGTTCAAAGGGTCACAAAGAGTCAGACATGACTGAGCGACTAACACTATAGGTATATGTGTTTGTCAAAAGTCCTAACGTGTTACATTTAAATAAGTACCTATTATGCTTCAATAAAGTTGATATTTAAAAAAAGCAAAATAAGGATAGGATTATACCAGAACTCTGAACAATGTGATTTAAGCACCATTCCTGAATGTATTTGGGCTTCCAGGCGGCTCAGTGGGTAAAGAATCTGCCTGCAATGCAGGAGACACAGGAGATGCAGGTTCGATCCCAGGGTTGAGAAGATCCCCTGGAGGAGGAAATGGCAACCCACTCCAGTATTCTTGCCTGGAGAATCCCACAGACAGAGGAGACTGGTGGGCTATAACCCATAGGGTCGCAAAGAGTCGGACATGAGTGAAGCAACTGAGCATGCATGCACACATGCTCGGAATGTATTCTAATTTAATAGTCACATATATATAGGTTTCCACTTTCTTCCTGTGGAAAATAAACCTACTGACTAAGCTGAGTTGATTGGCTGAGTTTAAAATCCTTCATATGCTTACAGTATTAGCCGTCCTCAGATAGACAGGAAACATCTTTATAAAATAAGGTGGAAGAAGCAGAGAGAGAAGGCAGCAACGGGTGATATTTACTGATCCAAATATGAGGAACTATACTAGGAGAGTCAAACTATTATGCAGGTTTCTATGGTGCGAAGAAAAGCCTGGAATATTCAGATACTCTGGCTTATTAATGGTCTGATAATTTTTATTAAGATAACTGAAACCAGCCTGGCATAGTCCTTTCCATTTTTGTAGCAAGCTACTCTGGACCATTTGATATGCAAGAGGATGATGAGGGCATAAACAGATGTCCTGGCTGTTGCCATGACAGCCCGCTTCTGTATTCAGATGCTGGCTAGCTTCCTATTACTGTTCTTTTTAAGTAAGTCAGCATTAAAAAAGAGCTAGGTTACATTTATCAGTTTCTCCACATCTGTACTTCTCAATCTTCAGCCATATTTAAGCAGCAAAATAAGTAAAAGTCTAGATGACTCCTTTTCCTTTAGACAATGCTTTTATATTTATTCATTTATTTGGCTGCACCAGGTCTTAGTTGCAGCATGTGGGATCTAGTTCCCTGATCAGGGATCGAACCTGGTCCCCCTGCATTGGGAGCTCAGAGTCTTAACCCCTGGGCCAGCAGGGAAGTCCCTAGACAATGCTTTTACTGAAAATGATTACTCCCCACAAGTGAGAAAGCACTTGTCCTGTGCGTCGCCTACCTCCGATGATGGCCGAGTTCCTGTTGACTCCATTTCTTATCGCCTGGCCTTGTCCTGGGTTATACGGAAAATCAGCACTGGCTGTGGAGAAGAGATAAAAAGTCACGTATTTATCCCAGATAATCTGATACCTGTTTTTTCATAAAATACTTCAACAATGCCTGTTTTCCCAAATGAGACCTCTGTTTTATTTAAACCCATTTTGCTGTTGTTGCCCACAAGAATCACAGCCACCTCACTGCCTGCTGTTTCCCTCTGTACAAGGCCCAGACGAGCACTATATCTCCTTGGGAGGAATATTAAAAATTTTAGAATAACCTGAGCAGGACTGTCAGTTGTCAGTTCCACTGACAGAAAAGTTTAGCATACTTCTTCTTTTTTTTAAAATTTATTTTTATTAGTTGGAGGCTAATTACTTTACAATATTGTAGTGGTTTTTGCCATACATTGACATGAATCAGCCATGGATTTACATGTGTTCCCCATCCCAATCTCCCCTCCCGCCTCCCTCTCCACCCCATCCCTCTGGGTCTTCCCAGTGCACCAGCCCTGAGCACTTGTCTCATGCATTCCACCTGGGCTGGAGATCTGATACTATCCAGATCACACTTGATAGTATACTTGTTTCAATGCTGTTCTCTCAGAACATCTCACCCTCGCCTTCTCTCACAGAGTCCAAAAGTCTGTTCTGTACATCTGTGTCTCTTTTTCTGTTTTGCATATAGGGTTATCGTTACCATCTTCTAAAATTCCATATATATGTGTTAGTATACTGTATTGATCTTTATCTTTCTGGCTTACTTCACTCTGTATAATAGGCTCCAGTTTTATCCATCTCATTAGAACTGATTCAAATGAATTCTTTTTAATGGCTGAGTAATATTCCATTGTGTATATGTACCACGGCTTCCTTATCCATTCGTCTGCTGATGGGCATCCAGGTTACTTCCATGTCCTGGCTATTATAAACAGTGCTGCGATGAACATTGGGGTGCACGTGTCTCTTTCAGATCTGGTTTCCTTGGTGTGTAGAGCCAAACTTCTTAATTTTGGCTGAAATCTGCCTCCCAGCCACTTTGACCCCTTTCACAACTGGTAGAGTTGGGTATGTTTGCTGTTGAGCTTTACAGAACTTGCAGTATTAGTTTAATAAGTAATCATTAAAAATTAAAAAAAATGGAAGTATCAAAGTGAAAGTCGCTCAGTCGTGTCCAACTCTTTGCGACCCCATGGACTATACAGTCCATGGAATTCTCCAGGCCAGAATACTGGAGTGGGTAGCCTTTTCCTTCTCCAGGGGATCTTCCCAACCCAGGGATCAAACCCAGGTCTCCCACACTGCAGGCTGATTCTTTACCAGCTAAGCCACAAGGGAAGCCAAGAATACTGGAGTGGGTAGCATATCCCTTCTCTAGGGGACCTTCCCATCCCAGGAATCAAACTAGGGTCTCCTGCATTGCTGGTGGATTTTTTACCAACTGAGCTATGAGGGAAGCAAATTGAAGTATAGTTGATGTATAATATTATATGCTACAGGTGTGCCATATAGTGATTCACAAAGTTTAAAGGCTATATTCCATTTATAGTTATTATAAACTATTGGATATATTCCCTATGATAAACTACAGTCTATCCCTGTAGTTTTATACATAATATTTACACATAATAGTTCATACTTCTTGACACTCTACGCTTGTACTGCCCCTCGCCTCATGCCCTCTTCCCAGTAGTAACCACTAGTTTGTTCTATACATTTGAGAGTCTGCTTCTTTATCATATTCACTAGTTTGTTGGGTTCTTTAGGTTCCATGTATAAATGACATCATATAGTCTTTGCCTTTCTCTAATTTACTTCACTTAGCATAATACCTTTCAAATCCACCAATGTTGTTGCAAATGGCAAAATTTCATTCTTTTTTATGGCTGAGTATTATTCTGTTGTATATCTGGACTACATCTCCTTTATCTAGTCATCTGTGGATGGACACTTAGATTGCTTTCATATCTTGGCTATTGTAAATAATGCTGCCATAAATATTGGGGTGTATGCATCTTTTTGAATTAGTGTTTTTGTTTTAAAAAGGAATCATTTTTTTAAACAAGTATCTTATATGGTTCCAGTAAAATACTGTACACTTCAGGAACTTGTTAGGGGATATCTCACAAGTGCTGGGAAGAATATTAACTGCCTAATAATTTTTCTATTTCTGAACCTATTTCAACAAATCTTTGCAGAATGCCTACCATGTGTCAGGTGCTATTCTAAGTGCTGGGGATATACAGTAGAGAGTAAAAAAGATGAAAATTGTTATCAATGAGAACTTTTCATGCCCCACTGAAGAATTTGGTTTATATAGTCAAAATACTAACCTGAAGCGTGGATGTGATTTTAGTTATGGTCCTGTCTGTGTATACTGACTTGCCTGAAATGACAGTGCAGCTCCCGTGTTGTAACTCACAAACGCAGAGGACACAGTAAGATTTGGTCATCAAAACACATACTCCCTGAGGTCAACCACCCTTCAAAGACCAAGTGGTGCTTTTCAAGAATAAAAGCCTGAATTTTCACTGCTCATCTTGGGCATAGTTCCAAGGTCTTCTGAAGTTGTATTTACCCTTCTCTGAACACTGTTTGGTCCATGTCCTTCTAAAAGGTCAAAAGCTTGATAGCTTGTAAATGGCCTAGCTGGGATTAACCCCCAGGCAGCATTAATCCCAAAGTCGATAGTCTTTTCTATATTACCTTTCAAGGGCTAAGGCAACACAGACAGGTCAGCTGTCGAGAAAACCCCAGCTCTCCGACAGTTCAGCTCAGGTAGGACCCATGGAAGGAAGAACTATTTTTAGGATGTTAGGTAGAAAGACTTATTTTGTTTGGACATACTGCCTTGAAGTGCCTACAGAACACTCAGGTGGCGACTTCTACTAGACATTCGAGCAGTCTGTGAGTGGGTCATGTTTCTCCTCTCCTTTTGATAAACACAGAAATCTCCTGACCATTAAAAAAATAAATAGCTTCAAAATACACTTAATAACAAAAAAATTACAGTGTCAATTCTGTCATTATTCTATTGTGTTGTATTCATGATACTACAAGACCATTTGCTCTTCTGCAAATGGTAACACAGACGGTGGAACACAGCACTTTGGTTCCTGCCCGAAAGAGGGCTTTGCATCCTTGGCCACAAAACTGCAGAAAAACACAGATGCTTAGAGACCCTGACAACCTCTCTCTGGCTCTCTCGTGCTGTTGTTGCTCAGTCGTGTCTGACTCTTTCCAACCCCAGGGGCTGTAGCCCGCCAGGCTCCTCTGTCCATGGGATTCTCCAGGCAAGAACACTGGAGTGGGTTGCCATTTCCTTCTCCACTGGTTCTCTTGAAGTTACAGATATAAACAGTAGTGAAAGGTACGAATGTGACTTAAACTCCTTGACATCGGGTGGAAGGTCTCCCTTGACCTTCTCCTGCTTCTTCCCTCATGGGGTCACTTTTCCCACTCACCCTTCCAGGCACATGGATTTCTAATGCTTTGGGGGGACATGTCTTTGCTCCTCCATGTGACACGCTCTGTCAGGACACCTGGTTGCCCTTCTTCTCTTTGTCCCTTAAATCTTAGCTCTTTCCTGAAACCATTCTGAGCCACTCCAGATGAACTATCTGCCCTCTTTTCAATACCTATCATCTTAATTCTTGTCACTCCATACATGGTATTCATCTTCTTAAAGGCAGGGGCCAATCTTAATTATATTTGCAGTCCCAATGACAAGTAGCAGAGCTAACTGGATCGAATTGCCAACATCCGTTGGATCATGAAAAAGCAAGAGAATACCAGAAAAACACCTACTTTTGCTTTATTGATTACACCAAAGTCTTTGACTGTGTAGATCACAATAAACTGTGGAAAATTCTCCGAGAGATGGGAATACCAGACCACCTTACCTGCCTCCTGAGAAATCTATATGCAGGTCAAAAAGCAACAGTTAGAACCAGACATGGAACAAGAAGACTGGTTCCAAATTGGGAAAGGAGTACGTCAAGGCTGTATATTGTCACCCTGCTTATTCGACTTACATGCAGAGTATATCATGAGAAATGCTGGACTGGAGGAAGCACAAGCTGGAATCAAGATTGCCAGGAGAAATATAAGTAACCTCAGATATGCAGATAATACCACCCTTATGGCAGAAAGTGAAGAGAAACTAAAGAGCCTCTTGATGAAAGTGAAAGAGGAGAGTGAATGAATTGGCTTAAAATTCAACATTCAAAAAATGAAGATCATGGTATCTGGTCCCATCATTTCATGGCAAATAGATGGGGAAACAATGGAAACAGTGAGAGATTTTATTTTCTTGGGCTCCAAAATCACTGCAGATGGTGACTGCAGCCATGAAATTAAAAGATGCTTGCTCCTTGGAAGAAAAGCTATGACCAACCTAGACAGCATATTAAAAACCAGAGACATTACTTTGCCAACAAAGGTCTATCTATCAGAGCTATGGTTTTTCCAGTGGTCATGTATGGATGTGAGAGTTGGACTATAAAGAAAGTTGAGCACCAAAGAATTGATGCTTTTGAACTGTGGTGTTGGAGAAGACTCTTGAGAGTCCCTTGAACTGCAAGGAGATTCAACCCATCCATCCTAAAGGAAATCAGTCCTTAATATTCATTGGAAGTACTAACGCTGAAGCTGAAACTCCAATATTTTGGCCACCTGATGTGAAGAACTGGCATCATGGACATGAGTTTGAGCAACTCCAGGAATTGGTGACAGACAGGGAAGCCTGGCATGGTGCAGTCCATGGGGTCGCAAAGAGCTGGACATGACTAAGCAACTGAACTGAACTGACTGGTATAATTAAAATCAGTCCATTAAGAGGTGTACAAACATTTGTGTGAAAAAAGACTGTAGCCCTCCAGACTCCTTTGTCCTTGGAATTCTCCAGGCAAGAATACTGGAGTGGGTTGCCAATCCCCTCACTAGGGGATCTTCTCAATCCAGGGATTGAACCTGGGTCTCCCATATTGTGGGCAGATTCTTTTACCATCGGATGCACTTAGGGAAGCCAATAAAATCTATTCAG